GATGTAAAAAATTTAATAAATTTGGCCTAAAAGCAAGTCTTACGAAAAATATATGGATTTAAAAAAAATCTCTTTAGGAACTGCTTTGGAACATGCTGGCCTCTCTGACAACTCGGCTATCTGTTAAATACTATTCTGGACAAAGGTGAAGCCCCAAAACTATTCTCTTAGGAGTCTTCAAATCCTTTAACAAAACGAATTCAGTACTTCGTCGGTAAAGCGTAATGCAATAATAAAAGTGATAGTTTTTATATAGATTACAATAAAAAATAACAGTGGGATTAAAAAAACATATTTTTAATTTTTTTTAAATTAGGTATTTTTGTTATTTATGAGGAGAATTCAAAAGAAATTCGATGCGGGACAGATGTAAGGTGGGACGCAGCTAAACAGAAAGGGACGACGACAGGAAGGTATTAAGTGGGTGATTGATGGGTTGTGTACGTACTAGGATTCTCGACATTCAGTGATTAATGGACTATTTCAAATTAACAATCCTTGCCAGCTTAGGTTTTGTGTCCGCGAGTGAGGATTCTTGATGATACTTTCATCCCGGAGACAGTTCGCGTCTGTCCGCCCAGGGAATCGTGATAACAAATAGTGCAATATTTCGATGCTGATTAATATTTATATGCTGTACGAGTTTGGTAGATTTAATTTTTCCTTCAGCTTCTTTGCTGGTACAAGCTTTCTTATACCAAATGAAAAAACTGGGATAGTTCTTCGACATAGATTATATTGTGTTTATTTCAATATATAATGTTTTATACTGGCTGTAATGGCTAATATATGGTATTAAACGCTAAGGCCAAGACAGATAAAAAATTATGTATCACGTCATTTTTTCCTAACTCCCAAGCGGAGGCGAATAATATGAGATACGTGTCCAAGTGTTTTTGCCATTGGACCCTAGGAGCAAAAGAAAACACATAAGTTAAAAAAAATTGTTTTCGTGACTTCTTGTGCATGCTCTTCAGAGTTATTATGTTTTATGGTATAGTTATAACTATGTTTCACGTCTATCAAAAATTCCAGGTCTTAAGATGATTGAACAGGGCATGACTTGACCACTGGGTTTTAAGTCTAGGGTTCTGGGATGCGGTTTCCCATTTTCATGGGAAAACATAACTGACTGGTACTACAAAGAGATGAATCTGTGCTTGGCGATATTCGACCCAACCATCACGACCATAGAAGGCTACCGATTGTCTGAACCCAGTTGGTTTTTTAAATTGAGATGTGGACAAATTATTTGAACTCACGATCTCGGAGATGATGAAATTTGTTCTATGTGCATTCCGGTGCAATAAAAGATGCTTTTCACTTTATGACCGAGTGTTCTATTCTTGTAGAGTTTCGTCTTATATATCTAGATATACGATCGATGACAAAAAAAACAACAGTTTTATAGCCTTATTGAACAAAATAAAGAATTGTAAACATATTGCGAAATTTTCTCATCAAGCATAGCAATACCGGCATGAATTAATAAGTAAATTTAATGAGCAAAAACTAATTAATTAAGAAACACATAATGGAATAATAATATTGAAATAATTATCAACAATACATAAATAATAAAATAAGAATTCAATAGGAAACAGACAACTTCCGACAGACGGATCTTTCCATGTCGTAAAATACTTTTCTTTCCGATAGTACATTTTTCGTTTTTATATACAGGTACATATGCACAGTTTAGCTTTCTAAGTTAAATTAATTAAGGTTTTTAGTTAAGATAAAAAAGTCAGTGTCTCGAGCGGGATTCGAACCCACGATCATCGGCTGGATACGCCGCTACTCTACCACTTGAGCTATTGTGACTTCGATCCACTCGGACACTAACTTCCCATCTCAACCCCACCTTTTGAATTTTCCCTCCTTTTTGCCATTTTTCAAATGTCGTGTATCTATTTGATTCTCGGCGACAAGTGAAATGGCCACGGAGAGCTTTACTGAAGGTATACTTCATTTAAACTTATTAAATTCACTCGTTTTCGTGGTCCGCTTGACCAATTAATATCTTTCAATTAATTAAGCTTTATAGTTGAGATAAACATTTGTCGTCGAGAATCCAATCCGGTTACACGACATTTGAAAAATGGTAAAAAGAATGGAAAAATTCAAAATGTGGGGTTGAGATGGGAATTTAGTGTCCGAGTGGATCGAGGTCACGATAGCTCAAGTGGTGGAGCAGCTGCGTATCTAGCCGAAGATCGTGGGTTCGAATCCCGCTCGTGACACTGACTTTTTTATTTCAACTAAAAACCTTAATTAATTGTAATATATTAATTGTTCAAGCGGACCACGAAATTAGTGAATTTAATGATTTAAAATGAAGTATAATTCACTAAAGCTCTCCGTGGCCATTTCATTTGTCGTCGAAAATCCAATCCGATACACGACATTTAAAAAATGGTAAAAAGGAGGGAAAAATTCAAAATGTGGGGTTGAGATGGGAAGTTAGTGTCCGAGTAGATCGAGGTCACGATAACTCAAGTGGTGAAGCAGCGGCGTATCTAGCCGAAGATCGTGGGTTCGAATCCCGAGATTTTTTATCTCTACTAAAAACTTTAATTAATTGAAAGATGTTAATTGGCCAAGCGGACCACGAAAACTAGTGAATTTATAACTTAAGTTTAATTTTAACTTTTGTTTCAAGTTTGAAAAGTTAAGTTGTTTGTTATTAAAACGTAAAAATAAAGTGTTTTTCTTCTTTTTCTTTTAATAAAATTTTTTATTCGTTTCACGCTTTAACGTCCATAAAGAAAAATGGACATTTTTCAATTTTTTTCATGCTGATGTACGGTGGTCTTCATTCATGAATTCATAAATCTCTGGATCTAATACAAATTCAAAGTTATTATAACCGTTAGAAATCTTAATTTCTCTTCTTTTAGACCTTTTAAACAAGCTGTAGATTTTATGTTAATACAAATGAAACAACCATTTTATTTTTTATTTCCAATTCGTTGAGTTTTTGCTGAATTTTTCATTATTTTTCTTACGTGTAACGACATGAAAACCAAAAATTGTTTATGTAGCCTCCAAGTGGGAAAATGCAGCTTATCAGTGGTTTTTACATGGTAGACATTAGGTACAGCCCTGAGGATTTATGCGTTTTTAAGAAGAACACCCGACATCTGAGAAATGAAACAATTTTCAGACAAAACATTTCTACTTTTACCTATAAAAATTGGTAGTTAAGGGCTTTTACGGGTGCTTAAAACATATTCAGGGGGACCGCGGTAGCCGAGTGGTTAGCATGAGAGACTCTCACACCGCGGTCGTGGGTTCGATTCCCACCGTCGCCTCTGGCCCTTTTTTCACAATAACCCCCCCCCAAATTTGAACACACATACGAATTGTCACATGGCTAATATGCATAGTTCATAACGCAAAAAAAAAAAAAAAAAAAAAAAACATTCAAAATGTTTTCGATTTTTAAAATAAATTTTAATGGTCCAATTTACTCGTAATGTTTATTTTTTATGTGTACCTTTTTATGTATTTAATCTTACATTACACAATTGCAAAAAAATACAACAAAAAAAAAATGAAATACACGCACAACAAAAGAAGAAACTCATATTGTAAAAGAAAATTGTAAATTGCTTAATTTTTGTTTTCTCGGGTCCTAGGACCTATTGGGACGTTAGGTCAAATTTTGTTGCAAACTAATCAATACCAAAAAAATTGCACTGAAATTGTTTTAAGAGATATGCAATGTATAAAAATATGAATTCTTTAAGTTTTAGTGCACAATTAAAAACATCATCCGACCTTAAACATAGGAGTGTAGGAACACTACTTAAAATTATTAAATTAATTCCTTTATTTATTTTTTATAATTGATTTATTTATTTTGGTAACGGGTGTTCCCAAATGCAGAGGTCATACAACCCCCAGGTTGCCCGTGTTTAAAAAAAAAGCCCATTTGTATGTATTGTGAGTACCATTAAACGACTTTAACATTAGAAAAATCTTTTCTTTTCTCATTATTAATTATTATGTTTATGAGATGAAGATCATGTGAAATTATTTCTTGCTCAGTGATTTCCTTGCTTTTAGATTCTAATTTTTATGTGTATGAACTAAATAATATATTGCGTGATATCTCTCTAGGTTTTGGGCAACGAACCTGTATTGGTAATTACTGACCATTTTGGTCAGGAGATGTTCATCAGAGAATATTATCATTGAACGAATGTTAATTATGTTCGTTTTTCAGTTCATTCAAACAGTCAGTTTTGATCAGTAAAATGTGAAGTCAAGTTCACAAGGCTTTAAAATTATAAAAACTAAAAAAGAATGCAATAATTCATCTAATCAACGATTTGTTTTCAACAATATATTCATCCAAAATTTTAAAAAAAGTTAATATAGAAAACAAACTTTTCTTAAAATATAAAAAAGATTATCAAACAAAATATAAATTACAAAAAGGTGCACACGTCAGCGGTTAAACACAGCGTAAACATGCCAAATAAATTACCGAAGGACCATTAATCAAAACAAAAAGTTGACTAACTTCGTACACAGACAAAGAGAAAAATGTTATTTCTAACGACCCTTTTCAGGGAATTAAGCTAAAAACATACCACAACATAGGTAAACGCTTAGACAAAACATCCACCACAAGGCCCTCTCGGCAAAAAAAGGGGGACCAGCGTTAATGCAATTGACATATAAAAAATATACTTCGTGGTTTGAAGATATAATACTCTTAATCAGATTAGTAAATATAAAAACAAACATAAGTTTTTTAATAAAAATATGACTTTAATTATGCAAATTGAAGTAATAACTGACTTGTAGAATACAAAAAGACCACCACTGGCACCTTTCAAAGAATGCTGTTTAAAATGACCGAAACCGCAGAAAGCCAAGTTTTCCATTAATTACACCGACGACAGGGTAAAGAGCGGGGATAAACGGACCAGAAATGTTTTTCCCCCGTTTGAAATACAGGGTTAAAAGTTTCACAATAAATGACTTACCTGTACTTCTAGAGCGTGGTAAGCGACAATGAGGCCTAAGAGAATCACAGTCGATACGGATATTAGCGTTTTCAGCGCCGTCGAATAGAAAGAAGCCTGTAACATAAAAGAAATAATTGATTATTTCTTGCCATTGAATAATTGTCGTGAAAAACTAAGCAAGGTGGTGACAGTTTCGTCTGTCAAAATAACAAATTAACATAATGGATAAACGAGTCCTTTCTCTGTTCGTTTATCCAACGGAGACAGTCTGCTTAAGATTTTATTCTTTTATTGAAATATATCTTTGTCAAGACCAGCCACCGTTAAACGGAATGTTTTATTTTTAGGAAGATTAATGTAAAAAATTCGTATTTGCGATGATTGGCGGGAAGATTAGCAATTTTGAGCTAACATTACTGGTCATTTTTCACTCGCAGTGAATGTAATTTATTTTCATATTATAATATATGTACTATTTGGTTAAAATTTTTGAAATTTATTTTAATTTTAAGACAAAAAATGCTTAAACAAATTTAAAGACCCACTTACAAATGCGCAATTATTTTTTTTTATAGTTGCGTCTTAACAGGTCGTTTATTTTGTCAGACGGTCTTATGATATTTTCACCATATTTCTTTTCCAGTTTGTCAAGATCAAGCTCAGTAGCACACTTAGTATCTGCATGCTAAACAGAATTGAAGATGGCGAAATACAGATACACGCATGGCAGACCAATTCAGCGATAGGCAGTCAAAAATCATCGATAAGAACTAATTATCTTTCATGTCAAAATTTTTTTAGAGAGAGAAAGAGATAGAGATAGAGATAGATATGTAGGTAGGTAGGTAGATAGATAGATAGATAGATAGATAGATAGATAGAGAGAGAGAGAGAGATAGAGAGTGAGAGAGAAGAGAGATAGATATATAAATAAATAAATAAATATATATATGTGTACAGAAAGAGGGAGAGAAAGAGGGAGAGAGAGGAGGAGAAAGGGAGGGAGAAGGCGAGAGAGATAGATAGATAAAGAGAAAGAGAGAGAGAGAGAGAGAGAGAGAGAGAGAGAGAGATTGATAGAGATAGATAGATAGATAGATATATAGAGAGAGAGAGAGTGAGAGAGAGAGAGAGAGAGAGAGAGAGTGAGAGGGAGAGAGAGAGAGAGAGTGAGAGAGAGTGAGAGGGAGAGAGGGAGAGAGAGAGAGAGAGAG